CCCACTAAACAAGTGAAGGCTTCAGCCTGCTCTGTAGTGTTCACACATACAGTGGGTACGGAAAGTATTCAGACCCCTTTAAATTTATCACTCTGTTTCACTGCAGCCATTTGCTAAAATCAAAAAAGTTCATTTTATTTCTCATTAATGTACACTCAGCACCCCATCTTGACAGAAAAAAACAGAAATGTAGAAATTTTTGCAAATTTATTAAAAAAGAAAAACTGAAATATCACATGGTCATAAGTATTCAGACCCTTTGCTGTGACACTCATATTTAACTCACATGCTGTCCATTTCTTCTGATCCTCCTTGAGATGGTTCTCCTCCTTCATTGGAGTCCAGCTGTGTTTAATTAAACTGATTGGACTGGATTAGGAAAGGCACACACCTGTCTATATAAGACCTTACAGCTCACAGTGCATGTCAGAGCAAATAAGAATCATGAGGTCGAAGGAACTGCCCAAGGAGCTCAGAGACAGAATTGTGGCAAGGCACAGATCTGGCCAAGGTTACAAAAGAATTTCTGCAGCACTCAAGGTTCCTAAGAGCACAGTGGCCTCCATAATCCTTAAATGGAAGAAGTTTGGGACGACCAGAACTCTTCCTAGACCTGGCCGTCCAGCCAAACTGAGCAATCGTGGAAGAAGAGCCTTGGTGAGAGAGGTAAAGAAAAACCCAAAGGTCACTGTGGCTGAGCTCCAGAGATGCAGTAGGGAGATGGGAGAAAGTTCCACAAAGTCAACTATCACTGCAGCCCTCCACCAGTCGGGGCTTTATGGCAGAGTGGCCCGACGGAAGCATCTCCTCAGTGAAAGACATATGAAAGCCCGCATAGAGTTTACCAAAAAACACATGAAGGACTCCCAGACTATGAGAAATAAGATTCTCTGGTCTGATGAGACCAAGATTGAACTTTTTGGCGTTAATTCTAAGCGGTATGTGTGGAGAAAACCAGGCACTACTTATCACCTGCCCAATACAATCCCAACAGTGAAACATGGTGGTGGCAGCATCATGCTATGGGGGTGTTTTTCAGCTGCAGGGACAGGACGACTGGTTGCAATTGATGGAAAGATGAATGCGGCCAAGTACAGAGATATCCTGGAAGAAAACCTCTTCCAGAGTGCTCTGGACCTCAGACTGGGCCGAAGGTTCACCTTCCAACAAGACAATGACCCTAAGCACACAGCTAAAATAACAAAGGAGTGGCTTCGGAACAACTCTGTGACCATTTCTTGACTGGCCCAGCCAGAGCCCTGACCTAAACCCAATTGAGCATCTCTGGAGAGACCTGAAAATGGCTGTCCACCAACGTTCACCATCCAACCTGACGGAACTGGAGAGGATCTGCAAGGAAGAATGGCAGAGGATCCCCAAATCCAGGTGTGAAAAGGTTGTTGCATCATTCCCAAGAAGACTCATGGCTGTACTAGCTCAAAAGGGTGCTTCTACTCAATACTGAGCAAAGGGTCTGAATACTTATGACCATGTGATATTTCAGTTTTTCTTTTTTAATAAATTTGCAAAAATTTCTACATTTCTGTTTTTTTCTGTCAAGATGGGGTGCCGAGTGTACATTAATGAGAAATAAAATTAACTTTTTTGATTTTAGCAAATGGCTGCAATGAAACAAAGAGTGAAAAATTTAAAGGGGTCTGAATACTTTCCGTACCCACTGTAGATGCAAATACACAAAGCAGAAAGAAAGCACTCTGCAGCATGCTATGGGCCACATGAAAAACTCTTTCTGCACCCACTAGTGGAAATCACAAATCCACTAGAAATGCAATGGAACACAGATATGTACCAGAGACCTTTGAAGAGGATCCACTTTACACCAAGTTTTATTAAAGTTCATTTTCACAGCTTTTAAAATGTATTCTAACAAGTCAGAAAAAAGTCAAAAGAAGACCTCCACCTCCATGTATACTGATTGACTTTCCTATGGAGGAATGAACCAAGTGAGGATCCTGAACTCAACGAGAGCCACACTGAACTTCATTAAAAAAAAAAATATGGAAATTGAATGTGCAAAAGACAACGCGGGGCAGCAAACGCCTCAGCCCTGAACCCATGGCTTAATCCAGAGAGAGTGACAGAAAAGAGGAGTGAAGATGGAGATGTGATGGATGAGGGCGGTGGAGGGGAAAAGATGAAAGGCTCCTCTTCAGCAGGAAGAGGTGGGACTGGAGGGGGAGGGGGGGGGATACAAGGGAAGATAGTTGGGTGATTGCAGCGGTCCACCATTTTAGAGTAGCAGTGAATGGCCGGCAGCCATTATTATGCTAAATTAACCTGGGAGCTCCAGGCCGCCACTCAAGATGGAGGAAAAGCCGAACAACAGATAAGAGCTAGTTTACCAACACACACACAGGGCTGAGAATGCACTCGCCCACCCCCACATTTCCTCTGCCCCACCCTCCCCACACCCACAGTTGTGCCTGTGGAGTGGTCAGCAGCGTGGCCTTCATTATCATTAGACGCCATTTTCTGCCACAAAGATCACCAGCAACCCCTCCCCCAATGCCTGCCTCCTCACTGCTTCACACACACACACACACACACACACACACACACACACACTCTCCAGCCCCCCCACCCCCCGCCTCCGACTGTTTTCCAGTGGGTGATGCATGCATACACACACAAACCTCCCCCAGCGCTGACCCCTGCCTGCTGCTTTGGCCCTCCCTCTTCCTCTGAATAAAAGGGGACCAGGGAGGGAGGGAGGGAGAGAGAGAGAGAGAGAGTGAGAGAAACAGAGAAAAAGAGAGAGACAGACAGAGACAGAGAGAGATATGGGGGCTGCCTGACACATTCCTCAGTCCGATCAAGTTTCCACCTCCTCAATGAAACCACATCTGACTCTCTGGTACACAAACCCTCTTTGCCACTCCGCATCGCTCTCTCTCATCTGACGGATTGAGAGGGATGAAGCAAAAAAGAAAGTAGAGAGAAGTGATAAAGCCGGAGAGGAAGAGTATAAGAAGGGAATAATAGGAGCAGAGAGCTCTGTGCCAACGAAGCGAACCAAAGCCGATGGACAAACGCTGAGAAGACCGACGAGTTCATCCAGCTAATCGATATCCTGAGTGGGAAGCTTAGATTCTACGGATCACGCTCCTGGCGTGGTTACATGCTTTGGTATTGAGAGTAAGCTAAAACTATTACATGGAGCTGGCAATGATGATACTCACTGAGCACCAAATGTGAATTAATCCGCCGCTTAAAATAGTCCCCAACAAACTCACCATTTCCTCCTGTTTGTGTTTTGTTTGATAAAAACTACAGTTTTAAGATGATCTTCACATAGGGTCAACTTAGAAGCCTTTCCCTGTCCTTTCAGCCACATCTCGTGGCCTTAATCAACACGTGGATTTTGCTCTGTATTTGAGACCCTGTTTTTAAAGATTTCCATCATCAGACAGGTTGGGGAAGTCTTGAGTCGTATTTTTTGTACTTTTCATAGGATTTGTTTGCAAAAAAATATGTGTATTTTAAAAAGCAACCTTTAAAGTGAGACTTTTTAACTTCTAAAAGAGGAAATCATACTTTTAGCATTTTCTGTTTACTCACTTCATAGAGACAAAGTAAGAGCGTCACAGTACAGCACACACACAGTAGGAGTAAAACTAAATAAGACTACCGCTTAAAGAAATATGCTCTTTTATAATAGCTGTAGAAACTTTAGATGTCTTGCATTGCTACTATGGTACCGAATGGAAAAAGCAGCCAATTCCCTCTGGAAAAAAAGCTGCAAATTTCATGTTTGAGTTGATTTATTAAGCATAATGACAATAGAGTCTGTTCTTTCAAATAAACTTGGCATTGCCAGGGGGATAACTGACAAAGTGACGAGTAAAGAAGAAGGTGAATAATACTACTTTCCACCCGACCTGCAAAACCGACAGCAGTTCTGACCCTGTTGATCCGCAGCTATAGAAGAAAATGTGATTGATCCTCCGATTTGTCAGTCAAGCAGCGCATGCTCCATGCTTCACTAAGCCCTGTGATCTCTCTCACTCTCTCTCTCTCTCTCACACACACACACACACACACACACACACACACACACCCTCTTCAGTTCCCCCTTGTTGGCCACATGAGTGATGGATCTTGTGAGTGTGGATCTAGGGCTGCACGATAAAGGGCATTGCGAAGTGCGCATGTGCAAGAGTCACATGGCAGGACGTACAATGTCAGCAAATCGACTCAAACACATCGTGGTGCCACTTTTTTTCATCTTTCAGTTCTCTTTTCCCACAATTGATCCAGTATTTCCCATTAATTACATGCAGTCTAGGTAGACACGCCCACGTTTCATAATGAACCGTATACATTCACACACTTCTCCTCCTCACCTGCCTGTGTGAGAGGACCCTCTCCTCTGAGAGCGCATCTCCCCGAAACGCTGCACCGCTGCCGGCTCTGGGTCGGCTTTACAGCACCCTTCGCCGGTTCCCCGTGGCTCCCTGCACTGACCGATGTGTTTCTTTCTGTCATCACCGTTCAAATCTATACAACCCATGAGTTTGATCACAAGAGCACAAAATGCTATAGAGCTAGCTTCTTGCTGTCGAGGTACACCAGATTGATGCATTTAACTTTAAAACTTAGAAAATCCATGATGAAAATTATTTTTGGCACAACGCAGATATACAGTTCTTTCCAATATATCGTGCAGCCCTAGTAAAACCTATTCTGAACATACCAACACTGTTGAATTGATAGTCGCTTTATTTCCTCAGTTTTCCATCTGCTGGTATTCAACGGTTACTACCTGGGCTGCTGCCTCTCTATTGAATCACTATAAGTGGAAAACATCACGCTTCTACCGAGTAGTTAATGTTGCATCTTCAGGACTTTCCACCCTCTCTGTTGACACCAGCTGATGAAGTTGGACTCCTCTTACCTGGTCGTTAACACACGTTTAGCTCTACACTGCTACTTTAGAAACAACCACATACACACAAGGACTAATGGAAAGCTGCTCCTACCTTTTCTTGGGGGTCTTGGTCTTAGGCGTGGAGCTCTTAGTTTTCTTCTCCTTGGGCTCCTTGGGCTCTTTGGGGGTCTTGGGTGTCTTGGGCGTCTTCGTGGTCTTGGGCTCCTTGCCCTCCACCTTCTCCTTTGGTTTCTTTTTCCGCTTCTTCTTCTCCTCCGCCGGCGGTGAACTTCCCTCTACAGTTCCTGTGCCAGTCACCTGTTCACCCGCATCACTTCCTGTTTCGGGAAATCCAGACTTCACGTCTTCCTCTCCTCCTCCTCCGGCTGCTACTGCTCCCCCTCTCTCTGTCTTCTTCCCTCCCTCCTCCTCCTCTCCGGCCGCTACCTTTGCTTTCTTTTTCCTTTTCTTTTTTGGCTTGGTCTCCTGGTCGCTGGGCTGCTCTGTGCCGATAGGCTGGCCGGGGGCGCCGGCGCCGACCGTCGGCCTGTCAGGAACCATCATTGAGGCGTCGCCTGACGGGTCGGTGGGGGAATGCTGGGAAGTGGAGGAGAAAGTCAGCCGTTAATTTCAGTTTTTTCAACAACTTTAAACTATGCTTAATAACTTTATATATAGTAATAAATCATTTAAATAAGACACTTAGCCTTCTTCCCCACAAATAAACAGCAGTGGTCACTTGGCTTTGCATGTACAGATCTGGTCAGTGTTGGCCAAGACGCATGAAGAGCATGAAAATATGCTAATAGTTCTCTAAATCATTAGTCACTTGACTTATCTTTGGGTATTTTCATTAAACGATTGATTAATTGACAGTGTAGATAATCATTATTTTCAGGCCTACATTTGTGTTTAAAAAAAAGAAAGTAATCTAAAGGGCTAGAACTAACAATCAGTTTGTTATTAATTAACCTTGCGATTATTTGTTCTCTAGACGACGCCAGAAACGTCTTGTTTTGTCCACAAACTAGAGTGCATATATATTCAATTCACTGCCATGGAAAGCCAACAAGTATTTAAATTGGAGAATCTTATTTGAAACATGACTCCGTAATGAAGCCTTACTGTTAATTTTCTGTTGATCGACTAATCAATACATGGTTTCAATATGGAGCAGTCTGAGAACGTTTGCAACCTTCCGTTCCATCGTTTTGTCGTGCCAGCCTGTCAAAGTCAAGAGGGCGATATTTTCTGCGTGGGCGGGGGTTGAGATTGTCAGTAATGGCCGACTACAGAGCAGAGGGGGTAGACGGGGATCCATCCATCCATCCGTCCACATGGCTACCACCTCCGCCCTCTCCTTGACTCCCTGTTGCCACAGTGTCCTCCCCCTCCTCCAGCAGGCTAACCTTAGTAAACAAACCAGCTGACGCCTCGTTTTACTCCTGCAGACTAAATCCTCTCCCCGTCCTCCCAAGTAGGCTCCCTGTGACAGGCAACTGGTTACCAGCTGTTGGGAGCCTCTCCAGCTGCCTCTCCTCCCTCACCCACTCTTCCAGTCCTCCCTCCCTCCCTCTTTCGCTCTCTCTCTCTCCAGCTGCTCAGGGTCCCAGTAGCAGATGGGAAATCAGGCATCATGACACGAATAAATTATCTCCATACTTCAAAAAGGCGCAGCGAGGGAGTATGTGTGTGTGTCATACCAGTGTGCCTTTGAGAGTGTGCGTGTGTAGCTGTGTGTCAAAGAGAGGTGTGTGTGTGTGCGAGCATCAGCAAGTTTATAGCGAAATGCCACGGCAGCAGCTCCCCTCTGTGTACAAACGCACACACACACAAACCTCGGTTGTGTTCACGTGGAGGAGGAAAGAGTTGGGGTGCCATCACTGAAAGTCCACTTCCATCAGGAGAATGCTAATGTACACGCACACATTCCGCACCAAACTACTGCAAGGTCACGTGTCACACACACACACACACCTCTGCACACAAACACCTGCTGACACACACGTAAACCGAGACATTTAGACACGCAAATAGGGGGAGGAGAGGGGGGGAGATAACTAGGGGGGAGAGAGAGAGATGGAGGGACAAGCGCAGAGAGATGTGGGGGGGAGATGCAGTGCCAAGAGATAAATCTGTCCTCCTGCCAGGCTTCCCAGATAATCAATCACACGAATGACAATGGAGACACACACAGTGCATATACACAAACAATCACACACACGCTGGAGTCCTGCGTCAGGTTTGGTGTTCTGCTTGGTGAATTCAGCTTGATGGTGTGCTCAGTTCTGCTGGTTTTAATCCAGTTCTCCACAAGGAATGGAAAAACCACTGCGCTCTACTGAAACACCATTACAATGCACCTTCAACACAATGATATCACCAATAAGTCAATTTAATAAAAGGATCCATAAAAGACCTCGATGAATGAGTGGCCTCGAGGCCGATATCACAGACTCGGAAGAGATGAACAGGGTTGGGTTTCATCTCTCCGTGGACAGAGGGGGATGTTGGAGGACCTCTCTTCCAACATCCCCCTCTGTGAGAGGAGGAAGTTGAAGTGGAGGAGGGCAGGACAGCTGGAAGTGAAGTGAGATAAAGGGTTAAATCCACCAGGCAGAAACATTTAAGACTCCCAAAGGATGGAGTGAAAGAAAATACGGTCACCGTCGTTCAGCTTCTTGCCTTACCCATCCATCTATGGATATCCGATATATGGACATAACCGTGATTATTGTTACGTTACCGACTTATCGTACGATATATGGACATGAGCGCGATCATTTTACATTATCGACTTATCGCACAATAAATGGACAGGAGCGCGATAATTTTTAAGTTATCGGAATATAGTACGATATGTGGACTTGAGCTGGATCATTTTCTATGTATCTCCTTGTCTATACAGACAAGTATATGGACATGACCTCAAATATTTTTGCTGACCTCCATATTGCTTGTGTTTACATGCATGTTTATTTACAAAAGAATTTCACAAACAGCAGGGTTTTCCTGACCATTAGAAGACTTGCACATCGCGCAGACATTGCACATTTTTGTTGACAGAGAGTCCATTTTGTTTGTTTTGGTTGTGTGGTCTTATTTTATTTAGCTCTTTGAACTGGTGCACTTGCATTATTATCCTGTTATATTATCATTATATCAGTGGCATAAAATGGTGTTAAAATGACAATAACTCAAATCATCTTTGGGACAATTTATTGTGACAGCACCTTTATTTGCAGCATTGGCTGGTGATATTTCTGATTTTCTTGGTAAAAATAGGTAAAATATATATTATTCTCAATCGAGCCAGTTGAAAGTACACTCGTCATCATGCTGTCAGCGAATGCTTTGTAATGTTAGACGGACTTCCTCCCCTGCATGAAATCATTTTTGGACAGCGATTACATTTTGCCATATCACTACTCTTTGTGACGCTTGGCTGCACATTTGAGTGCCAGCGTTGGTCAGTCATTGGTTGATGGATGCTGAACAAACACCACTTTCAAGCAGATTTTTAAAAAATCCCTAATTTTTTTTTTATCATTTTGGAAGTGGTTGACACTACATTTTCTGCCACGGTTCCAAACAGTCTAGCTACACATAAGAGATTGATGTCGCTTACTTCCTTGAACCAATCAGTATTTAACAACGTTTGAATCTGATGAGAAATGTTGGGCTATTTGGTCACTGTCAATCAAGTTTAATTTAACACCTAAATAGTTATAATGGAACAGATTAGATAAAGGTGTGAGTTTTAAACTATTACATGAATAATGTCTAAAAGATGTGTTGTTTTTTAACTGTGATTGAGCTACTGTTCTCTTATCTTAACCATGTGCCCTACAGTTATATATATATAATTCTACATGTAACTATGGGACACATACTTATATAATTAGACATTAAATAGTAAGTTTTACTTTGACACTTTAAAGTATAGGAGAAGGTGAAATTGATAGGATACATTTATTTCTTAATTTAAAGTATGTGAACTCTGGCTTGTGCAGATAGCTAATGCACATTTTGATGGCTCAGATATCTCTTGTATAAAGAGTTAATGTTTCATCTCTCCATGATGGAACAGCCAAGAATCATTCACAGTAAGCACAGGAGGAAGGAAGCACCTCCTCTCTGCTCAGACACTGCTCTGCAGCAGCAGCAGCAGCAGTTGCATGTCTCAGCTCTTCAAATATGGTGAGGTGGGTTTCCAATAAAAATCACTCAACCACTAAAACCAAGATGAATCAGCTTACAGAGAAGTAGCTTGGCGAGGTGCTCGTACTATCTGCCCCTCAAAGGATGATTAAGTACGTCATCTTTCAGGACAAGAGATGAAGCCACACTGCTCTGCTGTGGCGTTCCATGGCTGAATTTCACTTAATTTGCCATTAGGTATCCATTGTTCTGACTGGTCTGATGACGTGCCCATCTCAACAACATTTCTATGTGTCTGTCATGATGGACCGAGGCATACAGACTTGAGAGGAAGAAACGGGCCAACAGAGGCACTCGTACTTTTAAGGGTCTTTCTTGTAAACTATGTCCTCAATACTGTACACGACTAACATGAATTTCTGGTGAAACGTTTGAAAGAAACCGAGCATTCCGTCAACCGCTGACATTTTCCGTTTGTTGGAATCCTCGCACACAACCAGAGTCGACTAAACGCCAGAGGAGCGTTTCCTCGAAGCCGCGGCGAGCTGGATGGTATGGCAGCTCGCTGACAGCAACCAAGAGCGGGGGAGGGGCGAGACAGGCATGTTACGTGTCAACTAAAGTGCTGCACGCAACACAGTGTGTGTGTGTGTGTATGTGTGTGTGTGCGTGAGATGTAGAATAAAGGTCACAGCGCAGCACTCTGCCAGAGCTGTGACCTTGAGCTGCTGACGAAGGCACGTGTGTGTGTATGTGCATGTGTAATAACCATGCTTAGTGAACAGATGGAGCTTAGAGTACCAGACATACAGTCATTATGACTGACTGACCAGCTTGGTGTGTGTGGCTCTTTCTAACAAATGCATCGTGTGGCACAGAGAGAACTCCCTTCCTGTGCCACACACATACAAGGCTATCCTATTTCCCCAGGCACATTCGCCATCCCATTCCAGACCACACCAAGCCACACTGTCGATGTGTGTGTGTGTGTGTGTGTGTGTGTGTGTGTGTGTGTGTGATGACGGGGCTGCCTGACCTGCAGCTAGAGTCGGGTCGGCACATGCAGCTCGCCCGGGCTCACCAGTCAACCTGGCATCTAGGTCAGGAGTGCTGGATAGATTGAGAGTGACGGCTGAAATGTCAACCACAAAACGCAGCGGTGCACGGCTGGGAGGTTGAGTCGGGGTGGGGGGGGATAGTAGGGCGAGGGGGCGGGGCACAGGGCCGCTATTGTGTGTGAGAATGGGTCAGTGGAGAAAGAGGGCTTTGAGCAACAAAACAAGCTAATGGACGCTGGAGGGCACTTGATGCAGGCGGCGACGATGGCTCGCTACACAAAACACAAACAGAGGTTGCCATTGAGAACGGCTAACCTCTCAACGGCAGCCCCCCCCCCCCCTCAATCTCCTTTGCTAGAGAGAGATCCTGGAGTCTTTGCTCATTTTCCCCACTTATTTTCCTCTTAGCATGTTTTCCCCCCTCCCCCAATCTCTTAATCACCCACCAGCTTCTTTTTTTTCCTCCTCACTGTCTCCCTCTTTTACAAACTGCCTGTCTCTCTGCACATCCGGCTACACAACATTAACTTAGAGATGACAACCCTGAAATGGGTAAGAAACAGTGAGACAGACACATTCAGACAGAGAGAGAGAGGAAAGAGAGGAGACGGGGAGGAGGGAGAGACAGGAAGGGAGGTTTCCTCTATAGAGAAGGGGGAAACGTGGGAGCAAGGGGGAGGAAAGATTATGCTGGTGGCGCCTCTGTGTGTGTGTGTGTGTGTGTGTGTGTG